TGGTTTTTAGGCTACATGCATGGCTTTCTCACAAGTGAAGAAGCACACTTGCAGGTTGCCGCCACCTTGTTACCTAGTTTTCTTGCTGTCTGAAGAGCCTTCTCATTTCAGTTTGCCATATGGAGCTTGATGCGGTTGGAACTCCTTCAGTGATACTGTAGCGTAATTCTATAGATCATGTTGCCCAGAACCTTATCATGACTGTCTCCAGGCTCAGGGCAGGCCTGGCTCACCCTCCTCTGTGCCTGCAGTGGGGTCCCCCCCTCCGGCACCTCCCCAGGTCCTGATTTCCCCCCAGAAGTCCCTTTTTAGAGGTGCTATCTGTCAGAAATGAGCAGTCTGTCATGTCTGTGTGATGTGCCAGCCAAGAAAACAAGCAGAACACATCAGGAGGTACAAGCTGGAAGGTGCAGTGTTTAAAGTGAGGTTAATTAACTGCTGGAATAACTTAGCTGTGGTGAATTTATTGCTGCGAGGAGTTTTCAGCTCCAGCTAAAGTTGCCTGATTGATGCAGGTATTTCTGGGTGAGAGTTGAGGGACTAAATTCAGAACCTAAACAGCGTTGTTTCCCTCTGGCTGTGGGCTCACTGGGGACCTTGGGGAGGCAGAGACGGCCCTGTCAGAGAGGAAGGTGGGCAGAGGAATGCTGTGACAGTGACGTGTTAACGTGATTAATGACAGAACTTAATTTGCACGGACAGTTCATTCTCGCACAAAGGAGCGCAGCAGGCGGGGGCCTCGCAGGGGATCTCTCTAAGGGCCAGCATGGCTCCGGAGGAGGAAACAATGAGCGGGGTTCGGCGGAGCAGTCGGTGCAGGCTGTACGGATGGGATTTAATGAGGTTTCCCAGCAATGACACAAGTTGGAAGTGTTTAATAGCTCGCCGCTCAATTGCGCGTTGCGTCCCGGATCTGTCGCCAGGGGGCAGCAGCGCCACGCCGCAGGGCCGCCGGCCGCCTGCCGGCGCGTATGCCCCCGCGCTGTTCCGCACCGGCTCTCCGTGCGCTTTACTACCGGTGAGCAAAGTTACTCCCCACGGACTAAACGATTTGCGCACTCGCGAACCTGAACCTGCACTGAGCTGCCCAGGCCGAGTGTCACTGCTGAGGTGTCGGCCGTGCCTTGAGTGGCAGCGCCTGCCCTCCAGCCTGGGGTGAACTGCTTCTTGTGGGGTGGAAGGGTCTTTGCGGAGATATCGCTAATGCACACCCCAGTTATAATAACGTAGCCCTGAAATGGGCGGTGTGTGCTAGCTAACCGGTGTGCTACAGGTGGAAGTGCCCAAGCAGATGTTCACTCTACCTCTGTTCTGGATTTTTGCCTCTGTTTGCCCTCCAACTCTGATAGCGGCGCCTTTCAAACACACAGTGACCAGGCTAGATTTGGGGGTTTTGTTCTGCTTCTAAGGAATTGAAAATGTTGCTCTGTTTTCTCTCAGTTCCTTATTCAGTAGGACATAAGAGTTTATTAGGGCTGATGTTAAGCTTATTGGTGTACTATTTAGGCTATCATGGACTCACTGTAAACATCAGGGATGCTTTAGGTACTTGCCTTACATCACCAAGGGGACTTTCAGTGATGCAACCCATTATAAAAGCCAGGAAGACCTTATAACAGTCTTCCAATACCTAAAGGGGTCTACAAGAAAACTGGAGAGGGTCTTTGGACAAGAGCATGCAGTGACAGGTCAAGGGGGAATGGCTTTAAGCTGAAAGAGGGAAGGTTTAGATTAGGTATTGGGAAGAAGTTCTTCACTGTGAAGGTGGTGAGACACTGGCACAGGGTGCCCAGAGAAACTGTGGCTGCCCCATCCCTGGCAGTGTTCAAGGCCAGGTTGGACAGGGCTTGGAGCAACCTGGTGCAGTGTGAGGTGTCCCTGCCCATGCCAGGCGGTTGGGTCTGTATGATCTAAAGGCCCCTTCCAACCCAAATAATTCTATGTTGGGGTTCAACTTTCTGGCTGGCAAGTCACCCTGCAGATGATGTAGCATCTGCGCTTGCTTCCTTCTTACCAATTGATTTACAGGAGAGGAGTCTCTTAACAGATGCACTGTCTTTAAGATAGGAACTATTGAGAATGGAGAAATTAAGGCCTTTTAAATATTAAATGGATGGAGATTTTCTAAATTATTTAATAGCTTGTAATAAAAGATGGCATAAAATGGCTTAGTGAGTTATTCTTTACAGAAAGTAGGCATAAGAAGTATTTTACAACATGTAAATATTGGTAGGAAAAGTACCTAATTAAAAATGCTACCTTATTCCATCTGTCAAAGGAATTATACACTCCCCGTACAATTTTCAGATGACTTTAGGCCTTTATTGCTTCTGTTCTCAAAACGCTTCTCTGGTGTAGGGAAATGCTGTTTATTCCTGTTCAGCAGCACAGAGACCACTTTGGGCTGGGAATGAGGTGCAGTATATCTGATCATGGCAATTGCCTTCAGGTACCAGAACCCATGGTCTTAGTTTGGGCACATGGATGCCCTAAATACTAACATAAGAGAGTTGTGTAGCCTCCAAGGCAAAGCAGGAGTTGTTCATGGCAAGGTCATGTGTAAATGCCTAAAGCAGATCCCTTCCCCTCTCCTGCTTCCTCCGTTTCTATAGCTTTGATAGAGGTGGAGATGGGGGTTCATTTGCCTCTTGGCCAGAGCTTGCTATATAAAAATGACCCCTTTCTTCACAAGACTGCTTTCCTTGGGTAACTTCTGTTCGAATCCCTCCTGTGTAAATTAACCCTGCTGCCCTGAAATCAAGGACTTCATCCACAAAAGTGCAGTCATATTGGCACCTCTTGGGAGGTGATGCTGAGTTTTATTATGTTGAAAGCGATGCTTGGTTTGCCTGCAGATGGCTAGAGGGAGGGCTGGTGCCTGCTTATGGGAGCATGCTACCCAGCACAGCTCCTGGCACAGAAGGTCAAGATTCATTTGCTTGTTTGTGCAGCCCTGCTTTCCAAAGCAATGCTGAGGTGAGATGAGGTAGGGATCAGCAGTAAAAGCACTGATCACAATACACACACAAAGCATGGTTTTGCCATGAGAAGCTTGAAATTCCTTTTACCATTATTAACCAGAACAGAAGCTTCTGTTCTGATTTGCCTCCTTTATTGAGGTAAAATGAGCTGAATCTCGAGAGTTCAGATTGCACTGAAGGAGTTGGCCTTACACTCCCCTCAAACAACCTTATTTTACTGAGAAATAATACTGCCGGGAAGGCACCAGAAAGCCTAAAGTATGCTGTATCATCTGCCACTTTTCCTGTGTCCATTTAGTTAGAAGGAGTTAGAATAATCAATACTTCCTTGTCTTTTACCAGTATTTAACGTGTGTTTACAGACTGGGTCACGCTAAAGCCAGTAGTTACCTGTAGATGCATCTACGCAGTTGTTATTTTCCTCTGTAATAAAAATTATGGAAGAGACAAGCACTAAAACCTGAGTTAGTGTATTGCAATATTGATTTCTAAAAGAGCACTGTAAGATTATATTTATCTATCTGTCCTATTATGAAATGGGTAAAAATGTACCACACAACGTTTCAGTCATTCAATACTAGTCTGAAAAGCCTGTTTGTTTGCTTTTTCTCAATAAGTTTTTTGAAGGACACTGATTATTTTATTTGTCTTTGTGGAAGAAAGCATTAATATAGGAAGGTAGTGTCTTGTCTCGAGACATCTCTTTGCCCACATCTTGTTTGGATTAGAACTGCTGCATTGCCATTTCAGCTCACTTTGAAACTTTCCACATTCAAAAGTAAAACCAGAGTAAAATGTGATGAATTATAGATTGCTGGCCTGGTACCTCTTTAATTCTAGCAATTACTCTATCTTCTCATGGCGTTCTGAGCAGAAAGGAGCTGTTAAAGCCAGGTTAAACTGGGCTTTGAGAAACCCAGTCTGGCGGAAGGTGTCCCTGCCCATAGCAGGGGGGTTGGAGCTGAGTGATTTTAAGGTCTGTTCCAACCCAACCCATTCTGTGATTCTGTGAGTGTACTGAGCCAGGGGCTTTCCTGTTCTTAGCTTCTGAAAGATGTCTGCCTACATGCTTTTATGACCCCAGAGATGCTTTGCCCTCCAATGTGATAGTGTAGTTTTGTGCTCCTGGAAAGCAATTTTCTAATTGATTATAGGAAGAGGGAAATGAAAAGAGTGGTGGAGAAGATGAGAAAAGGTTATTGTGATCATTCTGTAGGTGAAGACCACATTATTATTGCTCTCACAAATTGCACTGTGTCACGTTTTCAATAGCAGAAGGTCAAGTTGAGCCCAGGGATAGAAATAAGAGAACAAATATAAACAATAAAAGCAATGAGACACAAATGTCTTTGAAATGGAGTGTTTGAGCTCATTATTCTGTGGAACGTGTGTCTGTACTGCTGCGGAAGGAAGTGTCTCCATGCAGTGATTTCAAAGTGTAGCTTCTGGGTATAGATGGACTGGGTGTGAGATGTGGTGCTGGAAGCAAGTAGAGACAAAAGTGTCAGAGGGTGCAATAATGCATTGATCACACAGACATGATCTTATGGATGTGACTCTGCAGACCCTCTGCTCCTGAGGCAGCCAGACTCCAAGGGCCTTGGACAAATCTTTATGAAGACAGGGAAAGATTTCCCCCCATCTTTAATAATCTCTGGTTCAAACTGTTGGAGGTTTCACTTGGAAACCTGTTTGCACTATGGTGGTGTTTTAGATGTTGCAGCTCTCACAGCAGCTGGGTGGCAAGAGGGCACACGGGTATAAGGACACAGTAAACTGTGTGCACGATGCTTGTAATTTCTAGTATAGAGAAGTCTGCCTGTAGTTAATGTAGTTATATTTCAGAGCTGCCTTATTACGGTTTCTCTGTGTTCTTGGAAACAAGTGAAAAGAGCAGTATGACTGCTGCCTTGGATTGCACTGTAGATGGCACTGTGAAACAATGATTTTGGTAACAAAGATCTATTTCACAGCGCTATTGCAGACGTTAATTGCACTGTAATATGGCTTTCTTTCTAGGTCCCCGAAGTGAAGGGAAAATTCTGAAATGCAGAAAAGTTTATTTGCTGCTGCAAATGGGAATCTGGAATAATTATGAAAAACACACTGAAGTAATTGTGTTTGACTGGAACAAAATTCTTGCAAAGTCCCCAAGGTAAGAGCACTTTTTATCTTTCAAATGACACTGAAGATTTGCTGTTCTGGTTAGCAACAATATCCACTTGAATCCAACAGAGAATGAAGGCTTGACATTTCTGGAAGCGGCAGCCCACTGACGCTGAAGGGCTCAGTACCCCTTGCTGCATCTCCCTGCCAGATTTCATCTTTCCCCTGCCTTTTTTAAGATCCTCTTGTATTTCTTTACATGAGTGGGCTGAACACTTGTTCCTTGTCTACCTGCAAGGCAGGCAAATGTAGCATTTTAATGATACTGGAGGCTTTTAGCAGCCTTTCAGTTTGGATATAACTAAGTTGATGCTTTGTAGTGATACACTTATTCCTGGACTTGAATATACTTACAGAGGGATAAGGTTACCCTGTTAACATGATGAAACCTGGCTTCACATTCCCTGTCTAACATCAGGTCTATGGCTTCAAAATAATCAAACTCATAATCTGAGAAAGCTTTTGAAATCAGGTCAGCAGACAGGCATTTCCACAGAGACCAGCTCTGCTCCTGCACTGGGAATGGTGGGAACACCTAGGTTCACTTGCATGTTGAACTAGCAGCTGTTGGGCATGTGCTGTGTGGTTTGGGACTAAATACCTGTCCCTCCCATCAACTCACATCAGAAATAGCATGTTCAGAATGTCTGATTTGTGGTATTTATTCCAAGGGTTAAATCCTGCTTTCAGTCACATCGTGGGAAACCTGGGGGAAGCTCCCTGTCTCCATTATGATACTATAGAGTGACATGAGAGCTGAGCTGTCCACTGATGTTTGGATCAGATTCCTGTGTTTGCTTTTAGAGCAACTGAGGGATGGTATTGCAAGATGAGCAGAGGGTGACTTCCTATTTAGTGGTAACTGGTGCAGCTGTGTGTTTCTCAGGGAGAAAGCAAGTAAAATAGGGTTAAATTCAGCTCTTTCCTCCAGAAATTAAGGTTCAGTAACCTGGAGAAGATCTGGGGGGCTAAAATCTGATTGATTTCAGAGCTTACTGGGAATTGTCCTTAGACTAGTATTGAATCAACAGCAATAACAACATTTATGCTGGTTTCACAGTGACTCAATCCCATTAGCTGCAGTAGCATTATGTGGTTCAGCTGGGTGCAAGAGGTGAATTAGGGTCCATGCTTATTAGCTGAAGTGTAGCTGCTCTGAATTAGCCCTGGAGTGCTTCATGGGACAATACTTGTAGAGTAGGCAAGGACCAGTGATGTCTTTATCTTCTGGGCTTGATTCACGCTTGCAGAAGATTCCTATGTACTGCTGCAAAAGAGCATCAGCATGTTTCTTCCTGTGCTGGCTCGTTTGCATTCAGGGTGGCAACGTACTGGGCTTGAAACAGAACACCTTAAAGCAAGAAAAGGTACCTTTTTCCAAGTCTTTCCTTAAAAGTGTCTTCTTTACATGCAATATTACTTTTTCTTAAAGCTGTTGACTTTTTTAGCAGTATTTGTTTAGCAATATTTGTATAGCTTCTTAAAAGATTTCATAGGCTGGAGTAAAGCCTATAAGGGCAGCTGAAGGTGCTGGGTTTTTCACCAGTGTATTTTTTTCCCAGGTGTAAAATAATGTTTGTTGCTAAAGTATATTTGTGTTCAACAGGCTTTTGGTCTCAGCTTTTGATATTAATAAGTTTATTTGTGAATTGTTTGGGCTCTATCAGCATTCCTGTTCAGGCACAATGAAAGAACAAAATTGTTTTATGATGCGTGAAACAGAAAATTATGCAAGCACTTTCAAATGAGAAAACATGATATCTGTTTTGGTTTTATTTGTAGACAGTTATTAGACTCAAAACAGGACCCAGGTGCTTCCTTGTCTTTGGCAGTAGAGCTGTCTAAGGCATGGGGTTCGGTTCTTGTCTATCCCACGCTTGACTACTGGATTAGTTGAATAGTCTCAAGTATTTTAAAGATATACAGATAAATATATTATTGAGGAAACACATGGAAAATTCAGAACTGGAATCTGCAGGGGAAAGAAGATCCCAAAGGACTTTTTGGTGCAGATAAGCACACTTATGATAGGCTTACCCAAATCCCAGTGTGTTGATTAACAGCCCACTAACGTCACTGCTATGGAAGCAATATTTAGTTCAATTTATGCAAATCTATAAATTGCCTATAATTAATTTGATGTCTTCCTGCTTACAGCAGTTGCTGAAACTGTGGAATGTTCTATCTCGGGGTTCAACTGCATAATGCCTACTTATGTATCACACAAGTAATAAATCATCATAACTGAGTTTAAGAAATGATTAGATTACCTTTCTATATGATGAATGGTGTAACATAAACAATTGAGGGATTTAATTGTAGATATCTGCAGCAAAATGACTGAGGATTTGTGATTTTAGTTCTAACACTAACATGAATCAGACCAACAACATCCACCTCCTTTAGAGCAAATGTTTTCTGAGATGGTTTCTAACACCTTAAGTCCTCGCATGTTTGACTGAGGTGCTGGTTTCATGAGGGTTTAACCCTCAGCAAACTTATGAATCTCCAGGAAAATTAGCAGAAGTTGTGTGCTTGGGAGATCTAGCCAATTCATGGGCATGGCTGTATGGGAGTTGGTAGCATTAGCAAATATATCCTGAGAAATATTAAGTAAAAACGACATTTTTCTGTGATGTTTCTATGATTTTGAGGGAGGTGGAGTTTAAAAATAGTAGCACAACTTATAAATATGTATAATTAGATTGGAGTGCGGATGGTTCTTAATCCTAAAAAACCCCAACCCCCTTATCTCAGATTCACAGAAATGCATTGCACTCATAATGTGTTGTTATAAATATGTGTTTGTGGGTAATATGATGTGTGACGGCCATTGCATTGCTTCTAATTATGAAACATGCTTAACAAAGACTTGAACCCAACTAAACCATTAACATGATTTGGTCAGTGTTGACTTGTAATAAGCCACTTTATTTTTCCTTCAACATCTTCAGCTTTTCCTTCCCCACATCATTTTTATGCTATTCCCTACTCCACAATGTTCTTTCACTCAACTGCTTCCTTTTCTGCCTCCAGGATGAGATTCTGTGCCAAATCAATGCTTCTATCTGACTGGCTCTTTCTGGTCTATGTGTTAATGGTCTGCTGTAAATTGTTGTCCGCCTCTAGCCACCATCCACGGGGGTACACAGGTAGGAGATTTTAAACTCATTATGTGCTACTGAGACCAATTAATACTACTTGCAGAATGTTAGAGCCCACTTTTTAGCAATGGATAATTGATGAGGCTGTTGACAGCATGTTATAATCAGTGCAATGGGTTAAAAATATATCAACAGCAAGAAAAATATGAGTTATTGTAATTTTTCATGGGTTTTCTCAAGTAATTTTATGTACTGAATCTCACCAGACAGTCTTTGGAGTGACTTCATGTCTGCTAGGAATTTGGGATTTGTTTTGCTTTATTATTATCCAAAGATATTCTGAAATGCATCTTTGTCTTCTCTCTTCTAATCTGCTTATTATCAAGAGACTTTATAACAGTATCATTGGCTCTGGTAGGCAATAGATCAAAGTCCTCAGACTTATGTTAGCCAGTTCATTCACTTAAATTTAAACACAGATACTGAAGTGTGGTTTAGTTCAGCTTGTGGTATGCTCCTTCTTTTCCCAGCTTGCCTAGTGAGGCAAACAGAAAGATAATTGCATTTAAGAGGATACCCTCTTCTAGTAGGGTATATCTGTCAGGCACAATGTAGTACCTTCTCAGAAAAGACAGAAATGGCTCAGAACAAGTTGGATTGGCTTCATGAAGTACCAGACTGGATCTTTGATATAACATCTCTGTGCTAGGGGGAATGGCTTTAAGATGAAAGAGGGTAGATTTAGATGAGATATAAGAAGTTATTTTCTGTGAGGGTGATGAGGCCCTGACACAGGTTGCCCAAAGAAGCTGTGGCTGCCCCATCCCTGGCAGCATTCAAGGGGCTTGGCACAACCTGATCTAGTGAAAGGTGCCCCTGCTCATGGCAGGGGGTCTGGGCTAGATAATCTTTCAAGGTCCCTTCTGACCCAAATCATTCTATAATGCCTTAGATCTACATGCAATGTTCTTAGCTCTGAGCCAGACTCCCGTGTGTCCGGGTTTAATGTTAGCATCCACTTCAGCTTAGCACTAGGAAGTGGGGATGCATTTGTTAGAGGCTCCATCCTCCAGATGAGACAACCTATTGATCTCTTTCCTGGCTGCTTCCTGTGATCATCAGAGGCAGGAGCTGAAGTCTCCTTATTTGGGCACCAAAATCTCTAACATCCTGGCAAGGAGGATTGACTGTGACCTGCATATAGCTGCTGTGTCTGTCTACATGCCCATCAGCAGTGTGTGTTCCTAAGAGCTACACAAACCAGTTCCTTGCCTTATCTGTCACCAGCTCTGTGTTCCCTGGTGCTGTGCAGCACTCATGTGTTTGCCATAAGACACGGTCACAGGTTATGGAGAGTAGCTGGCATTGCTTTAAAAGCCCACAAAGTAACTTCAGAGAATACAGTGTTAGAAGATGATCCATGTTATTGCTTTGCAGGTAGCTGTTATGGAAACTAGTTGAACCACTTCAATGAGGAAGGGGGCCTATGCACAATGACAAGTTAATTAGGCCCTCTTGACCTTTCCTGTAAACAGCTGCTGCGCAGTAGGTCATTTCAGAGCTGACTACACAGCAAAACCTGCAGAACAGCTTCTGCAGCTTTTGTCTTTCAGGGAAGAGTCTTGTAGAAAGAAATGTTATTTTTGTCTTTTAAAAATGTACTTAGCATGTGTACGGAAGGAAAATACCCGTAACGAGGCAGTAGTGATGCTGTGTTGTAGGCTTGTAGGATGAACAATCTTTGTGTGTTATGTAAATCATGGCAGTCGTTTTAACATAACATTTTGGAATGCTTGGTTGCATAGTTTTAATTGACACTAAGAATTCTTTCCCCCATATTAAAGAAGTACTCAGGTTTGACTGTAGGACGCAAGCTGCTTGACTGTTAAGCAGATTTAAGTACTGTGTTTTCTCTGGTAGGCTAAAGAAAGATTCCGCTTTTCATTAATAGTTTGGTCATAGATTATGGAACTCTTTTTCAAATAGATACTCTTGAAGCTGGGACATTCATGCATCTTTTTAGACTTCAGTATCATATTCTTCCCCAAACACGAGCTTTTCTTATGCATACATGGAAGCAATCCCATCCCACTTTATTATTTCATGTAGGAATGAAAGAGTCACCCCATTTTTTGATCCTCCAGCTCCCCGTGTCTGTCCTATGGCATCGTAGATCATTCAGAAGGCTTTGGGGGCTCTCCTCAAGGGGCTTGTGTTTCCCAGCCTCATTTTATCTTTGCTGTTTGATATACCACCCAGATTGACCGCCTAATGTACGATCAGATGGAATCTGATATGTGAGCAAGACAGTGTCTTGTTCACCAGGAAAGCAAATAATTTAGCTGCTGTAGTTCAGCCAGTTTTGTGGAAGGCAAATAATTAGCCTCCTTTGTTTAATACAAATTAGCATGTTCTTGGATGGCAATTGAGATAACATTCTTCCATTCAATAAACAACATGAATATTTTTCAAAGTAAAAGGTCCTGAAGCACATCAGGGGGATGAATTCAAGCTTTGGGTTTAGCAAAGCCTTTGTCTGGTGTCCCTTAGGTCAAGTAGCTGTAACCTGACAGGAGTGTACTGAGGTGGGAAATATGAGCTGTTTATGAGACCGGGATCCTTCAGGAGGGTCTGGGTTTTAAGAACATATTGTGTCTGCTCCCGAAAATGAGTGTGTTTCAAGCTATGTACTTGCCATCACTAGTGGCTTTTGAAAAAGTGCTTACTCATCAAGGCTAAAGAAGTTTATTAACTAAGAGCAGGCAATAGAATTTAAGAAGTGCAGATTGACTTCTTTCTTTTCAAAATGCTGCCATTTTTAAGGACCCTAATCTGGGAAAAGACAGTTATTGACTTTGGTCATGTTACATGGTGCCTGAAAGAATGACATTCGACAGCTGTCTCTGCAATATTCGGGCAGGAACAGAGACTAGATCTTTAAGGACCCAATAACCATTCTGTTTCTGAAAAGTGGGAGAGAATGCCACTGAGCAATCACTTTGACAAAAAAGGGCCTCTCCACTGTAATAGTGTAAGACAGAGCTGGCTCCTTCTTTTGTTCTGCAAAATATTCTCCACCATCTAATAACTGTTAGTGAAGAGACTGTTCAATCTAGCAAGCCGATCCAGCTATTGCTTTGAAGCAGTTTGGATCTTGAGCCCAGCTTGGAGGCCACAGACTGTTTTTCATTCGAACACTGTAATTGCTTTGACTGGCAAAGTTAACTAGGCAAAAGGTAGAAGAGAAATGTTCCTTCTCATTACCATTAGCTCACTGAAGATGCTGCTCATGCAGATTATTTCAGCAGGCTTCCTGTATGTCTATGTAGAGAAGACACGTCAGAATATTCATCTGACTTTGTGGCTCTGAATTACCCTTGTAAAGAGTTTGTCTTTTGCACTGACAGTAACTGAGAGAAGCATAAGCACCAGCCTTACTATGGCTATTTAAAATTGGGCAGTATTTCAGGCTGCCAGAGTACCTAACTGATACCAATATAACTATCAATTCCATGCTGTGCTGAATGAAGCAACATACATTTAGTAACAGAGGAGATTTGTTTCCACCTCACTGCTATAAGTCAGGATCCACACATGATGAAGCATTGAAAAGGCACTTCCTCAGGTCACCTTACAGCAGGACTGGACTTGCAGACCATTAATTGGCATAGCCAGCTGAGCAGTTTCTATCATGAATTAACAGTGCAGCTTGGCTTTTCTGAGACTGCTGTTTTATGTGATGATGCTCACCTGAAATGCTGCCAGCCTCCTTCTACTTGCTGAAGGTTCTAGATTTTTTGAAAGCTCATTATTACTAATATGCCTGGAATCCATGTCTTTAACGAGCATCCATCTGCAGTTTTAAGCAGGGCCAAAGTTGTCTCTGAATTGTTTTACTCAGTTCAAGTTATATTTTTTCTTTGCGATTTCAAGTGAAGACATTGGTGATAATGTAGCTGGTAGCAATTTGCTTTATTGCTGCACCTGCAGGACAGTGCAGATCATAGGGAGAAATCGCTGTCTGTGTTTGAGTGCACTGGGACAGCTTGCTTTTCTGGCCAATCAGAGGAGTAAGTAGCAACTTCTTTTCATGGAATTTATTCCTTGTTTCGCTGCAAGACTGTTTTATTTACAGAGTTGTTGGGGGTTAAATGGCACAAGTCTTGTTAAAAATGGCAGTGGCAAACAAATATGCATGACTAGAGACTGGGAAGTGTGTTTGGGAGGAAATTGTCACCAGCCTGAGCTGCTGTAAACTCTGTGTCTTTGCGTAGTGAAATCCAGCTGAAAGTGCAATTTGCTGCCTGGCATTTTAGATGTGATCTCCAGCAATCAGAATGCTGCCCTAACTGGTTTTCAGAGGACCAGTGATTTCCACCACCTGTGAAAGGCAAGCTTCTTTTGTAGATTCTGCTGAGCAGGGCCTGAAGTGAGACCTGAGACAATTTTCTGGGATTCCATGAATGTTCTCCTTCGTTTTCTTCTGATGGATGCTTGAACAGGGAGAGGCACGTATTGAAAGGCTTGGCTTGTGTGAGAGCAATCTCAGCGAATAATGCAGCAGTGCACTTGATGCAGAAGACAAAGCCTCTCCTGGCTTCTGTTCCCTTTCTGCCCTGGCTATGGCTCACAGAAAGCAATCTTTTTCAGAACATGTCTGTCTCTTTTTTTTTTTGTCCTTCTTTGGTTGCTAATGGAAGAGGTGCTAATCTAACCTATCAGAGGGATGGGCAAAGTCACTTGTTATAAGAAATAGACCTCTTGTCATTTGGTAGCAGCAAGTATTGTATGTACGTGGACCTGAGGCCAAGATCTATCCTTGATAGATCCACACCAGACCTGCTGAAGGCAGTACAGAGGCTATGTGTTGAATGAGGTGGTTAATAATTCTTTTCTGTGTCCCAAATGGCACAGAGAAGTCAGTACTTTGAGGAGTGGAAGAATCACCCCCTAAACCTTCATACCACACTGGGAAAGTACATATTTCTCAGATAGTGTTTTCGTCAATTCTCCAGGATACAGGGGAGGACCTAAAAAAAGCTAGGAGG